AGGGGGGTCTCCCCAGAGCAGAGCAGAGCGCAGCAGAGGGGCACAATCCCCCCTCGCCCTGCTGGCCGCACTGCTGGGGATGCAGCCCGGGATGCAGTTGCCCTTCTGGGCTGCGATTGCGCGTTGGTGGCTCACGTTGAGCTTCTCATCCACCAACACCCCCAGGTCCTTCTCCTCAGGGCTGCTCTCCATCCCTTCCCCACCCAGCCTGGATTTGTGCTGGGGATTGCCCCGACCCACGTGCAGGACCTTGCACTTGGCCTGGTTGATCTTCCTGAGGTTTGCACAGGCGCACCTCTCCAGCCTGTCCAGGTCCCTCTGGGATGGCATTCCTTCCCTCCAGTGTTTAAAACAGATCAGCCAAGATGAGGAAGATGCATTTTCCGGCCTAAAATGGCTGCTCCAGTCTGGAGGAGTTAGGCTTGGGCGGGCGGCTGCGTGGCGGGGGAGGAAGCCTAAAGCAGCAGAGAGCAGAGCTGAGTACGCAGGTCTCGCGTGCTCCCGAGGCACGTGCCCGGCTGAAGCCTGAGTGCTAATATGGGTATTTCCCTGAACTTTTGAACGTGTATGGGGCTACTGGGGGTGGCGGCCAGACCTCCTCATCGCTAACTCAGGAGCGCAAGGTCGTTACGTCCTGCAGCTCCTGATGAAGTGCTCTGCTGTAGTCACAGCGGCGCAGGGTTTGCCCTGCAGTTCTGGCACAGGCAGCGCGGGTTTTAGTGTTTGCTGCAGGAGGGATAAATCATTTTCTTTCCTTTTTAGGATTTAAACGTGGATGAATTTGAAGAAATATTCAAAACAAAAGCCCAAGGTCCAGCCATTGATCTTACTTCAAGCAAGCAAAAGATAACTCAGAAAGGGTCAAACAAAGTCACGTTACTGGATGCCAACAGGGCCAAAAATCTTGCCATTACTTTAAGAAAAGCCGGAAAGACAGCAGATGAAATATGCAAAGCTATTCACGTGTAAGTAAAACACTTGTCAGCAAAGAAATCATGTTTAAGATTTACTGTGATTATGGTAAGTGGAATGGTTTTGAATTGGCAGTTGATGTAAATGCTTTTGCATCTGGAAAAAAGCCAGGAGTAAGGATGGAACCATTCAGAATTCCCAGAAATCAAATTCCCTTGAACTGAACTAAAAAAATTGCAGTTTTATGTCGCTGTGCTTCAGGCTTAACAAATTAACGCTTCTTCTATCAAAGAGGCTAATTCACGTATCTGCGCAGTATGCCATTGCACACTGCATCTCTCGTTCGCCTTGTGCAGTGCTTTCTGTTAGAATGAACACTCAAAGCCTGGAGTATCGGCAAGAGGCAACTATTGTAGTTGGCTCCATAAAACACGACTTTACTCCAAGTGCACTGGAAGGGTTTGGCAAGGAATTAGGTTTGTGTAGTGGCCCCAGGCAGTGCCAATCCCCAGTGTGACGCAGGTGTGCCCGAGGTACACGCAGACCCGGGAGCGCAGCGCGGGGCTCAGCTGCGCCCCATCCCGTGCCAATACGGACCTTCGCCCGCTGACTCCGGCGGCTCCCGGGGACAGAGCGCAGGTGTACTGGCCCTGGGGGCTGATCCTGAAGCCATCCAGGAGCACTTAGTACTTGTGGCCATGGCAAACACCTGCCATTTCTCCATGAAGTAGTATCTTCAAAATTTGGATGCACAAGCGTTACCTTTGGGCTGGCGAGGAGAGTGACCCAAACCTGCGGCAGACTGAGCAGTTCAGCAGTTGGGGTTTCACAGAGTCACAGACTGGTGGAGGCTGGAAGGGCCCTCTGGAGCTCCCCCAGTGCCACCCCCCGCCAGAGCAGGGGCACCTCCAGCAGTGGCACAGGACGGCGTCCAGGCGGGTTTGGGATGGCTCCAGAGGGGGAGACTCCCCCACCTCTCTGGGCAGCCTGTGCCACTGCTCTGCCGCCCTCACAGCAGAGAAGGCCCTCCTCAGGTGGAGATGGAACTGCCCATGGTCACCTTTGTGCCCGTTCCCTCTTGTCCTGTCACTGGGCACCGCTGGAAACAGACTGTTCCCATCCCCCGGCACCCTCCCTTGAAGGATTTATCAGCGTTGATGAGATCCCCCTCAGTCTTCTCTTCTCCAGACTGAACAGCCCCACGTCCCTCAGCCTTTCCTCAGCAGAGAGATGCTCCAGTCCCCTCAGCATCTCCGTAGCCCTTTGCTGGACCCTCTCCAGCATTTCCCTGTCCTTCCTGACCCGGGGAGCCCCGAACTGGACACAGTGCTCCAGATGTGGCCTCCCCAGGGCAGAGCAGAGGGGGAGGATGACCTCCCTCCACCTGCTGGCCACACTCTTCTTGATGCCCCCCAGGATGCCATTGGCCTTCTTGGCCACCAGGGCACATTGCTGGCTCTGGCCCAATTAACTAAAACTGCTGTTTGCTCCTCCCCACATATGTTCTCTGATAAATGGGAATGACCACGTCTGTGAAAACAGAAACAAGGTGCCCAGCAGCGCCAGTCACATCTGCACAGTGACCTTGTTCACACCTTCATGTGCAGGACCGTGTCCCCCACCCCAGCCAGGGCAGTGCGAGCAGGAGTAAGCTCAGAGCATTTTTATAGCGTCTCACTGCATTACTGACTCAGGCTCCGGTGCAGCTGAGCAGCGTAGGAAGGTCACGCCTTTGGCAGCTTTCTCACTTCTGTTACTTTTCCATCATCTGTGTAGAGTTGTCATAACACCACTTCTTCTGGTTTGTGATCACGCAGGTTTGACCTGAAAACGTTGCCGGTGGATTTTGTTGAATGCCTCATGCGGTTCCTGCCCACCGAGAATGAAGTGAAAGTGCTGCGGCTCTACGAGCGGGAAAGGAAACCCATCGAGAACCTGTCCGACGAAGACCGGTTCATGATGCAGTTCAGCAAGATTGAGAGGCTGATGCAGAAGATGACCATCATGGCGTTCATAGGCAACTTTGCAGAAAGCATCCAGATGCTGACCCCGGTGAGTGGGGGACAAGCCCTGGGGACGCCGGGGTGACGCACTGGCTGTGCGGGGATCGGGGCTTCCCAGGGGACCAGGCTCCCCTTGGGAGCTGCGCTCTGCGGCGTGGGTCAGCTTGCGGGGAGCGCTGCAGCCACGCGCTGGTGTGGGGCACTCGGTGAAGGTTATAGAGAGGTTAATTTTTCTAAGACGGAGTGATTGTGGGTTTCCTGGGGACAGAGAAGAAACACACGAATGAAGAACTGGTTTCCTCGCTATATTTTCATATATCAGTGACACCAGTGTCCCAGGTGCCATTTGTGCGGCAGCTCGTAGCCTGGACTGCTCCCTACCTTCCTGTTTCTTTACCCTGTAGAAGCTCAAAACCGGTTTAAGTGGAAATGTAGTTGTTTGTATCATCAGGGAAAGGTATTATCAGTGCTGATCCGTGGGTTCTTTGAAGTGTGTCCCATTCTACCTGATGCGTCTTTCACAGTCGTAAGGATTGAAATGTAAATACACATTTCTACCCAACCACACCTGAGTGTGGTAAATCTGCGGTGTAGATGAATTATTTGAAATCCTGACGTGTCAGGGCAGGATGACATTCATGCTAGAGCCCACGGCATGGATGAAAAACACGAGGCTTTTTTCAGAATGAGTTTGTAGATTTTAATTTTACTCTTGGGTTCGACGTGTATTAACCAAAGCTCTTCCTGTGTTTACCTGCAGCAACTTCATGCAATAATAGCTGCATCCGTCTCAATAAAGTCATCCCAGAAGCTTAAGAAAATACTGGAGGTAGGTCTGATTTTAGATACGTTCAATAGCTCAACCGCTCACCCTTACGTGTCCTGCAGCCGTACCTGGATACACACCAGCTCTCCTTCCAGAGGTTTCTGAAGCGCCGTGCGTTTCTCCTGGAAATTCACGCTCTGCTCTTGTTTCCTCCTGGCAGATAATCCTGGCTCTCGGAAACTACATGAACAGCAGTAAACGAGGAGCTGTCTATGGGTTTAAGCTACAGAGTTTAGACCTGGTAAGTAAACCAGAGGTGCCTGGGGGGGACCAGGTGGGAATGCATTTCCCTTCGGCGGCGAGTGGCTGCTGGGGGACGCGGCCGGCGCTCTCCA